TCCCCTCCGAAGCAGCTCCGATCCTCTCACTGATGGGAAGTCTAAAAATAAGCACATTCTCCACAAACAGCTTAAAGATGTGGAAAACGAAAAGCAACAAAGGCTGGAAATGGATGAGTCACRAATGCAGGGCTATCTCACCAAGGAAGAGTAAATCCAGCACCCAGCGAGCCCCAGCCCTGGCTGCAGGAACTCTGTGGGTTTGGGGCTCTGTGCCCTTTGCCGGTGCTTGGGGCTCCCAAGGGTGAGACCTCGCCCAGCTTTGCTCCATTCTGTGCCACAACACAGGAGGGAGCCCAGCCTGCCCAGCAGCACCCACAGGAGCTGTTTTTCTCTCCCATGTGGGTTTTTATTTGGGATACCCCGCCTTGCAGAGCTCCCTGGATGAGGAACCTTCCTGGAAGGGGTGAAGCAAAAATTCCTGTCCACAGAGCATCCCCTGCCCCCAGAGAAGCCACAAGTGTTGGAGTCTCAGCAGGAAGCAGGGTCTCTGTGGGTGTCACTGCGTTTGGCTGCACCTTTAGCTGGGTGAGACAAAACCATCAATCAAAAGGATCCCTCAGTCCGGGATTTCTCCCCTCCCTCAGGATCTCCTTCCCATGAGCCCCGCTAGGGTGGACTGTGCTGCGAAGTTGCAGCTTTTTGCAGCTGAGCTGGAATCCGAACGCGGGCATTTGGGGCGGCAGGAGAGGGGCTGGGCTGGCGCCGGAGCTGTGCCACCATCGGATGTTTGCAGCCAGCCCGGCTGTGCAGCGGGCTAGGACGAGCCCGGGCTCTGAGCGGGTGGCGGGGCTGGGGGGGTGACCCCTCCATGGGGCTGGGACTGACCCTCCTTGGGGCTGGGAGTGACCCCTCCTCGGGGGCGTGGGGTGTGACCCCTCCTTGGGGCTGGGACTGACCTCTCCATGCGGCTGGGGGGGTGATCCCTCCTCGGGGCTGTGGGGGTGACCCCTCCTCGGGGCTGCCTGGGGGTCTGCAGGGCACCTCTTTGTGGCCAGCACCGAATCCCAGACTGGTTTGGGTTGGGAAGGTCACCTTAAAGGCCACTCTCTGCCATCACCTCCCATCATCCTAGGGGGCTCCAAGCCCTGTCCAGCCTGGCCTGGGATACTCCCGGGGATCCAGGGACAGCCACAGATGTTCCTCCCCACCCTCACATCTGCCATCCTTTTGGTGGCTGCAGCAGGGGACAAAGGCCAGCAGCAGCACCAGCCTGGCCCGTGTCCCCAGTCCTGTCCCCAGCTGGCTTGCTCCCAGCCCAAAGAACCCCCTGGRTGCATAAATCCACAGCCTGAGCTCGCAGCTCCGATCAAAGCTGTGCCCAAGGATCATCAATCCTGGAGCAGAGCTCGTTCAGCTCTGATTTAATCTTGAGATTCTGTTCTGGACTGCGCTAATTCAACTCCAGGAGAAAGTGTCYAGTGCAGCAGCCAGGTGGAGGGAAAGAAAAAGGAAAGTTTCTCCTGGAATAATTAAGCAGCATTAAAACATGAAAATTCAGGCTAAGGAGCAACTGGGCTCTTCCAGCAAGTGTTTCATCAGAAATAACGGGATGGGATGAATCAATGCTGGAATGGGCTGTGGKCTGGGAAACCTCTCCCTCCTGGGAGAGCCGTGAAGGCTCCTGAGCCCTCCCTGGGGAGGGGACAGCAGGTGTTTCCCAGGACATCCCAACTGGGGTGGGCAGAGCCCCCTGGCCTGCACGGTGGGTGAGGGAGGAAGGATTGCAGAGCTCCCTGCTCTGATTTTCTGCAGTTCCTATTCCTGAGGGTCATCCCTAATGGGACAAAGGGCTCCAATCCCATTGAGGACTTTCTTCTCGGGGGAACACCCAAGTCTGGCCCTGCAGGCCTCACATTTGGATAAAAAGGAATTGTGAGGGCACCAGGCTCTCCTGGAGCCTTTACTCCTTGTCCTCTCCTTGGACACCCAATTTATTGCTGCGGGCTCCATGGTGTCCTCACCCATAATGGGCTCCAAACCCCAAACCAAGCCCCTGCCCTGCYCGGGTGGCTTTGCTGAGCAGCTCCCCACGAGCTGGGTGGGCCCCAAAAGGGACGAGCCCGCCCGGAGTGCAGCAGCTCGATGGCAAATTGGAGTGAGTGCTGATGGCTGTGGTGGGAGTGACAGCTCGGCACTGGCGGTGACAGCCCCGCCGGTGTCCCCAGGCAGGCTCTGACAGCTGCTGCCCTGCCTGCCATCGTTCACTGTGTCACAGCAGCGTTTTATTGTCTCTGCCCGGGTCATTTCCAGCAGTATAATCCGGATATCCCGGGGCTGATTCCCGAGGGAGCCCCGTCCTTCCGGAGAGCTCCATCCCAGCTGCCCCCTCAGCCCAGGACACCCCAAAAACAGAAGGTTTGGGGTGATCAGCTCTGCATTTTAACAGASAGAAAAGGGAGAAGAGCTCTGGGCTGCTCTTATTGATGTGGACACGATCTGGAGATATTCTGGTCTGATTAGGGGTTAATGAGGACTGAGCCCTRTCACAATTTTTAATAATAAATATATGGGCTTGATGGATTTCCCAGCTACTGTTTTCAGCCGTGAAGGCTGGAACTTTTGTGGCTAATGCTTTCCAGAGCTGAAGGAAATTAGCTAAAGGCAGGGAATAACATTCCCAAATGAGGGAGTTTGTCCCCATTTACTSACATAAGCAGCCCAGATGGGATGAGGGAGCTGCAGGTAAAGGTTTCCTCATGGATCAAGGGAAAAAACAGGAATGTAAAGTAAAAGGGTGAGGAGAGATTCATCTGCACCTCATTGTGATGAAGCAACATTTGGTGCCGTCATTCACCTTCCACTGCTGCTGCAGAGGGYTTTGTTCCTGGAGCAGGGATGGTCATTCCTGAACACAGGAATGCAAATAACTCCATTAAAAAAGGTGAAATTGAAGGATGTAACCCAGCCCTGATGGATGGAAGGGGCCTGGAATATAGCAAAAGTCCTGAATCTCCATGCAGGCCTTGTCCAGGGGCCTTGGGATGCAGAAATTCCCCCTTGGGCAGGACAGCTGAGCTGGGAGAGCAAAAAGCATTGAGTATCAATGGAGATGGGATTTACAGTTGGCACTGGGAGCAGAGAAAGCCAAATTCCCTCTGACCCCAGGCCCTAAGCTGCAGATGATGTTCCTCCTGATCCAGGAAAATCCTGGTGAGGGGAGCACGATGACCCCTGAGGCTGAAGGGARGGAGACAGGGAGGATTTCACATAAGAAAAGTACAAGGGAGACAAGATGTGAATGAAACACCTTTGAGCCCTGAGCTCGACGCTCGGCAGGCTTTGTTTGCTGCTCACACGGCTGTGGGAGTGGTGCTGCAGATGACGGGTGTCTCTCCAGGCTGTTTTCCAGCTCCAGACGAGGCAATTTTAGCTGTGTTGGGCTCCCATCAGAGCCTCTCCTGCAGTCAGCTGCTCTCACCAGTGCACGAGCGCTGCTTGGTTTCACCCAAAACCGCTTTTTGTTACATTCCCCCTACTGGAAGTGCCCTSGCCCAGGTCCCTGTGGGCACGGAGGGGTCAGGGGGTTTGCTGGGGGCAGGCAGTGATATAGGGGCTGTGCCTCAGTGACCCAGGGCTGTGTGCCTCAGTGATCCAGGGTCATGTTCCTTAGGGCTCTGTGCCTCAGGAGCATTCCAGCAGTGAGCTGGAGTGCCATGCAGGCTCCAGGGGCAGGCTGAAGGTGACTGCAGTGGGGACAGGGATCTGCTGGCTATKGGGGACATTCAGGAACTCCCCCAGGAACTTCCTTTTTCCCAAATCTGGGTCTCCCTGAAGCTGCCGGAACAGGGGTGAGGATGTTCTGCTCTTGTGACCCCAGCACCCACTGTTCAGGGACAGGCAGAGTTTGTGCACTCAGGGCACAGGAGACACCTGCAGATGGGGATTCTTCTSCTCCACTGCTGCTGGCCAAGAAGTCCAAGACTGTTCTGGCCAATAYCAACAGTGGTGTGGCCAGCAGGAGCAGGGCAGGGATTGTCCCTGTGCTGGTACTGCTGGGGCATCTCCAACTCTGGGGGCAGTTTTGGGTCTCTCAGGACAAGAAGAACACTGAGGGTCTGGAGTGCATCCAGGTCAGGGAGTGGAGCTGGGGAAGGGTCTGGAGCCCCAGGAGCAGCTGAGGGAGCTGGGAAAGGGGCTCAGTCTGGAGCAAAGGAGGCTCCGTGTGGACCTTGTGGCTCTGCACAACTCCCTGACAGGAGGGGACAGCCGGGGGGGTCGGGCTCTGCTCCCAGGGAACAGGGACAGGAGGAGAGGGAACGGCCTCAGGCTGGGCCAGGGCAGGGGCAGGGGGGACATTGGGGAAAATTTCTCCATGGAAAGGGTGGCCAGGCATTGGAAGCTGCCCTGGCAGGTGGTGGAGTCCCCATCCCTGGAGGGACAGAGGTGGCACTTGGGGCCATGGGTCAGTGGTGGCCTTGACAGTGCTGAGGCAATGACTGGACTCGATCCTGGAGGTCTCTTCCAACCCAAACGATTCCGTGCTTCTAAAAATGGAACTGGCGGCTTAACCTCCCTCCCTGCCAACAGGAGACCTGGAGACACAAATTCCTGCGGGGCTGAGCCCCCCACGAGCGGTTCCCTTCGGCTCCGGATTCACGGGGTCCGAGCCCTTCTCGGGAGGGAGCAGAGCGGAGCCGGGGCGGCGAGGCCGGAGCCGCTCCCTGCGCGCAGCATCCCCGGGCTGGGCTGGAGGATGGGGAGGAGGGGGCGGCCGGCGGGGAGGATCGGCGAGGAAGGGGTTAGCGGGGGCCCTGGCGCAGGGCTGGCGGCGGAGGGTGGTCCCAGGCCGGCCGGGGGAGCGGCGCGGCGCGGCGGGGCTCGGGCTGCGCTCGGGGTGCGAGGGGCCATGGGGCGCTGAGCCGGGGCTGCCGCGCCGCGCCGCTCTCCTCCTCCACCTCCTCCTCCTCCTCCTCCTCCGGCATCGCCTCCGTTCAGTCCGGTTCTTCGCTCGTTTGATTTGATTTCATCCTTTGCTTGATTTTTTTGATATTATTTTTTTCTCTCCCTCCGCCATCCTCGCCGCCCAGATCTCTCTGTGCCTCCTCCCTCCATTCTCCCTTGAATAACTCGTCTGGGAGCGATCTGGAGGGGCTCGGGGGGGACGGTGGAGCCGAGCAAACCTGTGGCGGAGGAGCCGGCTGGTGGAGAGGTGAGTGAGGAGGACGGGGAGCTCCGGCTGCCCCCCGGCCGAACGGGGTGCGGAGGGGAGGGCTCGGAGGGAGCTGCGCGAAGGCGGCGCCCTCCCCTGCCCGGCTCGGGGGCACCGCAGCTCCGCGGGGAACCTGTTGGGGGTTCAGCCAGACCTGCCAGCCGGGCCGGCAGCCGAGCGATCCCCGCGGGGAGATCCGCGGGTGGCCGTGGGGGTGCTCGGGGGGGGGACGCTTGGGATGCTCATCCCCTCCCCTCGGCGCCCCAGCCCCTCGATGTGCGCTGGGCCGGCGGCCGTGCCCCCCTCTCCGGCGGGGTACGGCTGCCCGAGCTCACACGCGTGTTTGTGGAGTTGCCATGGAGCGGCACAACAGCGCTGGGGCTGCCCAGAAAACCCTTTTTATTCATTTCCTGGCCCTCTGCTCGTCCCTGCCGCCGGTGATGTAATGAGAGCTCGGTGTCTATGCGGTGTCCTGCTCGCGTGGAGTTGGGCACGGATGGAGACCCCAGAGCCGAGGGAGCATCCGCCATCTGTTTGAATGGACGGSTCCTAATGAATCCGTCAAACCCAACAAATGCACTCGACGGAGGGATTTGGCCCCAAACACCTCCTGATGCCGCTGTCGGCAACCAAAAGGCTCCCGAGGCGCCTGGTGCCCGTCCCCGGCTGCCTGCCCRGGGCTGTGATGAGCCCAGCCTCGGCTCGTTCCGCCTCCGATTCAATCGCCAGGTTTAACACCTGATTTGCAGCGATCGCCTCCTGCCTCCCCACCCGAGCAGCCCCAGGACTGCAGCGGGGAGGGCTGAGCTGCCGGGCTGTGCCGGGGTCCTGAGCGAGCTGCTCCTCGGTTCCTCAGCAGCAGCAGCCGTAGCTCAGACCTTTCCCACCCACCAAGTTTTGCCGTTTTCCGTGGAGCAGCTGCCTCCCCCTTAGCGCCGCGCCGCGCTCCTCCACGGGGCGCCCGGCGAGCTGTGTCCCCTCCCGGTGGCTTTGGCAGAGTGTCGGGAGTCGGGACACGGACGRGCTGCGCTGGCAGATGAGAGCGGGACGGGAGCTGCGGTGGGAGCGGCTCCCCGGGCTCTGGGTGCCGGAGGAGAGRTGTGCGGTCCTGCGCGGCTCCGAGGGCTCGCTGGACTACAGGAGGAGCTTCCCGCAGCCTGGGAAATGGAATTTGTCCGTTTATGAACTGTARAATAGCTGCACAAGGCCGGGACTGGCACGGCTCTGGAGCGCCCAGGTTGCTGGCATCACGTAGGCAGCTGCCACCGAAATGCCACACTTGATTGAAGGCCAAAAGAACCCAATACGTAACTGCCTGTGATTAAGCTCCATATGATGCCTCAGAGCAAGTAAAAACCCCTCCTTCATCTCATCTTGCTTGTAACGAGCCAGCCGTTGCAGGGATCTCATTTGGGTCATGTCGTGGCTTTTGGGGGATTTTGGGGGGGTTGTTTTGGGTCGGGCTTTTTTCGCTTCTGGCTGCGCACACCCATGACCTGCAGCAATCYGCACCCCCGCGATGCCCCCTGAGAGCCTGGGGCTGTAGGTGTGCTGCTAGCTGGGAATACAGATCCGAGCAGGTAAGAGCTCCCCGTGCCTTTTCTCTACCGGCGAATATTCCGGCTGGCTCCTCRTGGGGCGGGAGGAAGGGAGAGGGTCCGTCTGCACGGAACGCACRTGTGGGACTTTGTTCCCAGGAAGGGTTGGGTGGGGAAGCTTCGTCCTGTCAGTTTGGGGAGTCTGGTGTGTGCTGTCTGCTCAGAGGGTGCGCTGGACCTGTAGCCAAATCCTCTCTGCACTGCACCTGTGGATAAAGGCCGGAGGGGTCGGCGTGGCCCCGGGCAGAATCCCGTCGGGAAGTGAGGGACCCCAGCCCGATCCGGCTCGGGGTGAAGCTTCCAGGCGGTGCCGGGGCTGCGGGGGTCTCTCGTGGGGAGGGTCTGAATTGCTCCGGGCGCGCATAGCTCGGCTGGTTCCCACACCACCTTCCCTTAACTTGGCGGTGGGGCCGGGGTTTGGTCCTGCAAACAGCCGGGTTTCAGCGGGGAACAAAAGCGAGCAGCTTTGCCATCGAGCCACAGGGCGAAACTTGGCTCGCAAAGAGGCAAAAACCCCAACCCAAAACAGAGCGGCAGCTGGCACAAAGGGTACTTTAACCCAAATCTCCTTCCCTGTCGGCCTCAGCCGCGTGGGGAGTGGGGCTGAGGCTCCTTGTTCCCCGCTCCCCCTTCCCCGGCTCCGTTACCACGCAGGTTCTGTCCAATCATGGTGTGCTGGAGGATTCTGCTGATGCAGCCGATTCCCTCCAGATCATGGGAGATCTGTAACTAGAGATGGATTTATAAACAGCAGATCTGTAACTAGAGCTGGATTTATAGAGCGCTTTGGTGGCTGCTTGTCCAGCTTTTCCTCCCCCGGACCCWGCCCGGGCTGGGCACGGTTCAATGGCCGGTCCCGTGCGGCTCCCTCTGCCTCCAGGAAAACTGCCCCTGTAAGTTCAATGCAATGCAAGTTGATCGTTGTATTTCTCTGGAAATGTCCTGATTTCTAAGCAGAACCATGGCTTGACCGGTGAAATGGAGGTGCTGTGCATGTTTGATCTCCTGGAGTTGTGGTAAACAGCAAAAATGYACACTGAGAAACTCCTTGGAACAGAAATGTCCCCCACCATCATTTGAGATTTGTGCTCATGGAACTTTTATTGATTCGGGATGAAATACGGCAAGCAATCTATGAGGAGAATCAAATTCAGACCGGCAGAGCCTTTTCAGAAAATATTGGGAATGTCAGAAGGGTCTGTRAGCATTCATGGTAGCCAGGTGCCTTGCTGGGGTAAACTGAGAGCATTTTTCACGTTGTGTAAACAAGACCAGATCAGTTTTATTCCATTTATTCAGTCCTCAACTAGTGATGTACTGGGAATTGATCAGTTGGAGGAGCTTTGTGAGGCTGGGTAGAMTTTAATTGTGTTTTTAACCTGTGAATGTGGTTAGTGTTGAAAGCGTAAGGCAGAAACCCAAGTCAATCCTGGATATTATGCAATAGCTCTTGGGCTCTCATGAAAAGAGGGCAATAGAAACAAACTGGTTTAGGGGTCTGCTTTTAATTAACTGCAGCTTCCTTCGATAAAAGATAAAAGCCCTAACATGTGAAAATGGCTCTCACAATGAAGACATTAAGCAGTGGTAATAAAAGCCACAGTCTGGATTGAGTCTGTTGAACCTGAAGTCCATGGGCAGGACCTGGGAAATGCATAGAAATGCAGTGGGTGGTTATAAAAGTGCCCTCTCATTCCTTGAACTTGGTTTCAGCACTGGCCTTTTCACATGAGAAAAGCAAATCTGAAACATCTGCCCTGAATGCTGTCCTTAGGTCTGTCCCTAAAACATCTTTCCTAAAATTTGTCCTTAGGTCTGTCCCTGAACTGTGTCCTTAGGTCGGTTCCTAAACATCTGCCCTGAATGCTGCCCTTGGGTCTGTCCCTGAATTGTGTCCTTAGGTCTGTCCCTAAATTGTGTCCTTAGGTCTGTCCCTAAAYATCTGTCCTGACTGTTGCTGTCCCAGCTGGGGCTTCCAGACCCCTTTTTGGACCTGGCCCCTTCCTGGACCTCCCTTTTCTAGGCATTATCCAGCCATTTCACCTGGCTGGAGGGTTTGGATCCATATTTTTCCTTGGTTACCCATTCTGTCTTGTGTTGGAATCTCWGCAGGTCTGGTGGCTGCCCCTGGGATGGGGACACTGCACAGTGGGGTGACAGAGTGGGGTGACAAAGCACAGCAGGTCCCTCCCTGAACCCCCAGCACCCAGCAATGCCTGGGGGAGCTCGGTGGAGGTGCTGCTTTGGGGCTCTCTGATCCATCCCTTTTCCTTATCCTCCTGTGCTTCCACGCCTTTTACTGGAAGTCCTTCCCGTGGTACCTGCAGGAGGGCTTTGGACATTCAGGAAGGCAGGAAGGGTAAAATGGAGCTGCTTTGTCTTTTAGACAGGGCCCAGGCAGGTGGGGGTTTGCCTGTGCTCGCTGGGTGTCCTGCAGGGTGCTGCTGTGGGTGACACAGGTTACAGCACGTGCAGGCAGGCAGGTGACAGCAGGGACAGCGTCTGTGTGCATATTGTTTCCTTGGGATCCTTTTCTGCTGGGTGCTGGAGAGTTAAAACACAGCATGAGCCAGCCCGAGGAGCTGAGATTCGTTCAGTCACAGGAAGGGCTCGACTGATGCCCTGCACAAATCCAGGCTGGCTGTGTCCCTTCCCGAGGAGCTGGGATTTGTTCAGTCATGTGAAGGGCTCTGCTGGTGCCCTGCACAAATCCAGGCTGGCTGTGTCCCTTCCCGAGGAGCTGGGATT